GTTTAGCAAAGGAAGATAGGCTTGTTTGTAATTAAGCACAACGGGCTATTTGTGCTCTGCCCACCACGGGTATCGAAACCCGGATTCTAGCGTTGTAAGTCCGCAGACATACCGCTGTGCCACTGGGGGGCAGGAAGATAGGCACGAGAGAAAATTCCACTGGTAGATATTAGTCTTAACGAGGGATTGTTAACAACTGTAACATATACATTAATATGTTATATAAGTATTTTTTGATAATTGTAATGGTAAAATTGATGACTTAAGAGCCGGTCTAGAGACGAATACAAGATCCGAAATGAATGTCTGGCGCAATGGTCTAAGATACTGCATCTGTTACGGTAGCTTCTCCTGATAACTGAGGTTCGGATCTCAATTCACAGGTCTAATATAATTTTTAATTAATTCTAAAATAATATACCTTTTTAAAATATATTACATCTGTTATAGATTCAGAGAAATAAACACCCAAAGAATAGTAAAAATATTGTTGTTTTTATCGTTTGTCTTCTTGCTCTTTCAGTATCAAAGTCAGAATGCTTATTTCGACAAACTCAGTGTTTTACTCAACATTAAAATAAAGTTTATCTTTTTTAAGAAATAGTTTAACGAAGTAAAACAATGTGTAATAAAAAAATCTGAAAAATGAAAAACATTTAACATAGATAACAATTATTACGATTTACCTAATAGGACTAATAAATGAACAAAGCTATTAGTTTCTATGTACAAGATATCTGGAGACACGGTTATTAGAAGAAAGTTTGGAGTAGCACATGTTACTCTATGAGGACAACTCTGGAGTACTGCCACAGCCTTTCCTAATGTTTGTTGGACTATTCTTATGCCATTGAACATATCTCGACATTCACATTATAAGCATAAACTTCGTGTCTGTTTCATATTAAGATAAGCGACTTGTTAGCATCATGTAGTACAATTATCATTCTTTGTTTGTTTGTTTGTTTTTTTTTTCCTTATTTTTCTCTTTGTTATAGAAATAACACAATTTAAACAAACTGACAATGTCGTAACAACAACAAAATTACACATGTGGATATTGAGTTGAACTAGAGAACGAAGCCAGTTTGACGTCTGTAGCATGTATATGAATTAAAATAATTTCTTGCATAGTTTCTAATGCATCCCACAGCCACTAGGGGGCATAACTGCGATTTGAATTTAAATGCAGAATGATTTTATGGTTTAGGAGTAAGTGGAAGAGCTAAAGCCAAATAGTGGTCTGTCTGATAGACAAAGATAAAGTATCCATGTTGCAATATCATTTCATGGTGTGGACTGAATCACACTTTAGCCTGGTTTTTTGTTATTTTTAAACACCTGACAATATGTTACGTATGACAAACATTAATAGACAGTTAGTCAGAAGTTTTTATGCATATATATGTGTGTGTGTGTAAAAAAAAATCATTAAATTCAAGTTTTTTGTTTATGAAAATTCTATTCAAAAGAAAAACAGTGATATTTAAAGAAAACATTTCGTATATACAAATATATAAAGATTTAATACCAAAGAAGAGCAAACCTTTTATTTCAATTTGTTGCTAGTTCCAGCTACAATATTCTAACTTGACTGTATTTTTCTGTAAAATGTTTTGATAACAAATTGTTTCATCAATGTGGGGAAACTTGAAAAAGTTTACCAAAACAAATAAAGTCTACAAGTTTGGCAGTTTAATTGTTACAACAGTTATTTAACAGGTTAAGACAAAGGAAATACAGAGGATATGTTTCAGCTTACACGGTAAAGTACTAAAGATATAGGATTTCACAAAAGCTAAACTGACTCTGGACATCAGATTATGTCGACTGACTTTAAACCTGCTCATGTGATTTATTGTTAGTAACTACAAAAAAGGGTCACACCTTGAAGTTGCTAACAGGATCACAGCTTGATTAAGTTGGTAACAGGTTCACAGCTTGATTAAGTTGGTAACAGGTTCACAGCTTGATCAAGTTGCTAACAGGGTCACAGATTAATTAAGTTGGTAACATAACCCAGCTTGATTAAATTGGTAACAGAGCCACATCTTGATTAATTTGGTAACATGACCATTGCTTAATTTAGTTTGTAACAGGGCAACAACTTGATTAATTTGGTAAAGGATCATAGCCGTATTAAATTTTTAACAAGACCCTGTTATCAACTTAAGCAAGATTTCATCCTGTTACCAATTTAATCAAGATGTGACCCTGTTACCAGCTTATGTTGTGACAATATAAGCTGTGGCCCAGTTACCAACTTAATCAAGCTGTGACGAAGTTACAAACTTAATTAAGCAGTGGCCCTGTTACCAACTTAATCAAGCAGTAACCTTGTTATCAACGAGATCAAGCTGTGGCCCTGTTATCAACTTAATGAAGCTGTGACACTGTTACCAACTAAATCAAACTGTGACCCTGTTACCAACATAATCAAGCTGTCACATTGTTAACAACATAATCAAGCTGTCACATTGTTAACAACATAATCAAACTGTGACCCTGTTACCAACATAATCAAGCTGTCACATTGTTAACAACATAATCAAGCTGTCACATTGTTAACAACATAATTAAGCTGAAAGTTTGTAACTTGGTCATATCTTGATTAAGTTGCTAATAGTCTCACAGCTTGATTAAGTTTATAACAGGATCCCACCTGGACTAATTTGGTAACAGGGCCACAGCTTGATCTAGTCGATAACAAGGTTACAGCTTGATTAATTTGTCATGACTCAACTTCAGTAGAGATTATTGCTCGTAATATAAATTAATGTACATTATAACATTATTGCTACTAAGACAAAAATATTAGACTTGTCCTTTTATGTCAACGCTACCTTCAACTCCGATTCCTTAAAAAAAGGATATGTATTTGAATCTGTTTTGAAATAAGTACCAATTAGAAGTAAAAAATCTTAACCCTAAAAATGTAAACTGATAATAACTCTTTCTATTGTTTAGGAGCTAGATGGAAGGCTATGTCGAATACTGAAAAACAACCTTACTATGAGGAACAATCTCGACTCAGTAAACTGCACATGGAAAAGCACCCGAACTATCGCTACAGGCCACGTCCGAAACGAACGTGTATTGTGGATGGAAAAAAACTCCGTATTTCTGAGTACAAACAAATTATGAGGCAACGTCGACAAGAAATGAGAAACTTGTGGTAAGACAGCCTTATAAAAGGCTTGTTATTCAATACTCATTTATCGACAAAAATACACAAGAATTAAATAATAGTGTGCACCTTTAAAGGTGTGGGTAAACGGATAGGTAATAAACCACTGTTGTGTCTTTGTATCAGTGCTTTGGATGGTAAATTAGTTTTATATCATATGGGCAATCCTGGAATGTGAAGTTATTATTGTGAACCTTTAAACACGTGGATTTTGTGGTATTTACAAATTATGTTGAACTCAGTTTGTGCACTACAATCAGGTATAATTAGAAGTTGGTATTGGATACCTTTGCTAATTTGTTAATCTTGTGTCCCGAGAAAAGTAGAAATTACAACATTCTTTGAGCCTGTTCTTCTATGAAAGCTTCGTTTTAAAATTCAATCATCTTAAAAGTGAAGACAATAGAAGTTAAACATAAGGAAAATAATTATATATTTACAAGAAAATAGCTAAATTATGAAATGAGAAGATAAACTCTGTAAATCGTTGTTAATCCACACTAAAA